ACGTGCGCTCTACAGTGTTCGTAGACAACCAGGGTTGCCTGTCTTCTGTAAATATTCCAAAATGTCACGCAACAAAGTATGGCATGAAGAACCACTTCTTAGGCCAATATCGGGGATCGAGGGCATCGTGGCTAAGTTATTCCGACTCTGGAACAAGGGCGACATTTTCACTAAGGGTCTTCCGGCTCCACAGTTTGCTGTCATTCGGAAGCTCCTCATGGGATGGTAATTTACCTCAGCACTTTGCTGGGGACTCTCTCCTATCGTTTCTTGCTCCAGCTTCATTTCAGCTGTAAGGGAGTGCGACGGGATACAGCTTACAATTCAGCTTTACAGACTTTAAATTGCAGGCTTATTCTAGAAAATAATCAATACTGCTCACTTATTTGGAAATACAAACTTTACATCTCTTAGATCCCTAGATTAATCAATGCACAATGGTATTGTCGCACTCTACCGCTAATACAACCACAGGCGACTACTACTACCACAACAAGCAACAGGCAGAGACGCCTCGACAACTGGCACTGGTAACAAAATTCTTCCGTTCGACGGCTCGATGGCTCGATTCTATCGACGGCTCGATTCGATTCTGCACGGAGCGACGACGACTCTTCCGACGACTCTTCCGGCAGAGGCAAGACAAGGAAGGCTGGAAGGCTCCTTCTACTGCTACTACAAAAGGAACAAGCGGCAGCTACTCTACTGCTGTGTTGACTGGTTGACCGACAACAAACAGGAAATCTGCTCCATTTTGTTGCCATCAAGCCAACAATTCTCCTTTGAATCTTTGGGATGGGTGCTCCAGTCTTCATGCAAGGCCACACACTCCTCTACCATACTATACAATGCAGACTGAGTGCTGAGAGTGAGGACTGGAGGACCTTTCCCATGGAGAAATCCATGGCAGAATGACAACAAAATGCAATCCAAGCCTGATTTTTAATAGAGGCTCCATAGGAAACCTTAGAGTTGATTGACTCTTTTCAAGGGGAGTGTCTGTGAGTGTGTTGGGGAGCTACTCCTAAAAAAGAGTCAATCAGATCAATGTATTGGTGAAGCTAATAGCCATTTGGTCAACACTGTTGCCATTGTGATAAAATCCATTTTCTTTTCTTCAATCTTTTCTTTATTCCAAGTAGTCATTTCAATGCTTGATTCGTGAAATGACCACTTCTGTTAGAAATGACTGGTTCCGATTTCCGTTTGGCCAAAACGAGAATCCATTTTGACACCTGTCAGCGGTAAATAAAGTCATCCTGTACCGGTACATGTACAAGTACAACTTGACCACAGCAACATGAAGCTCCCCTCCGATTTGGAGCTACTGCTAGCTTGTGGAGTGTTGGTGCTGGTTGGATGACCGATACGAACGAGTGCCAACCTAGCTATAATGCAAATGACAAGAATAATAGAACAATGAAAATCTGGTTATTGCCCGTTGCTCGCTCATACCTCCGCCTGTAGCAGTTTGTTTGTTTTTCTTTGAAGAAATGAAGATCATCCCTGGGAGCCTCATCTTCTTGATGGCAGTGTCGATGGGCCTTGTTGGTGCGTTCAAGGCTCCACTTTTTCACCATGGTCGCAAGTTTTGCTCACAGACGGAACCCAATATTGGCAGGCTGCTCCCCAAACTCCGCCGGCTTCCCGCCGACGTGCATGCCAATGGCCTTTCCTTGATGGAGTGCAATTTGGGGTGTTGGTTGATTCTTGTCCAGCAAGAAGATGATCGCACCCGAACATCCTCGAAAGGTGTTGATGGAATGCTCAAAGGAATTGTACTGGTTTTGGTGCACAACAGTCACTTCGCCAGTGAAAACACAAACGCTGTTTTTGGGTCCATAGACCTTCAGTAGTTCATCAGGCTCCATGGGACTTCCAGTGTCGGCTGCCTCAATGTCAAAGGTTCAATACACCACCAATCCAATCTTCATACCCGTCGTAATGGGTAGCTCTCGGGGGACTTTCTCGAATGTCAATCTCTTCTGCGTGAGAATCTTGAAGGCGTTGGTAATGGTATTTCCACTGACGACGTTGTGAGATTTCCATTTGAAAGCGTCCGTGCCGTTCTCAGCGTCGGCTGGCACAAGCTCGATTTTCTCATTGGGAGCGATGGATTGCCCAAACTGAGGAAACACCAAATTTTGAAAGGAACCAGGGGGGTCAGAATAAAATACCTTGCAATTAGAAAAGTACTCATTCTTTTGGAGATAATCGACCACATTGTGCAAGGCTGTTGTGGGAGTGACTGCAAAGCGTGACGACGGTATCAAGACAGCTTCAGTAGTATCGTTGGTGTTACCACCATCCGTATGCATACTTGTAGTCTTCTGCCATTGTGGGGTGCGATCATTTTGCTGAGGCGATGGAGTGATTTGCTGTCCACGGATGAGCCCCAACTGTCCGTTATAACTATCACCTCCAGCACCATCCCCCCCTCATAGCTGATTTCCCAACAAAAGGCCTTGCATCGCACTTCGTTTACCAGCTCTGGTGAGATAGCGTTTTTATTGCCAACAAGGGCAAGTCCAACAGCATCAAGCACAATACCGATGTTGACAAGACGCTCCTCTACATTGCGGCCGCCTTTTGTTGGGCTTGGCTTCTTGGCTCCATCTCGTAGCTTCTTTCGTCCCGACATGTTTGTGCTGTTGTACAAATATACGATGCTTGTTTGTGAGGGACTATTATTAATAATGTGTGCTTGCTTGACCCTTTGTGTTTGGTGTGCTTGAAGCTTGAAGGCTTAGTGGGTTGTGTTGCTGTTGCTTCCTTGTGATCGCCAAACACTCTCCACGCTCAGCCGCGGAAAAACCGACCCTGTCGAGAATTGCATGGTTGCCCAAATAGAGTCGGCACGTTGTTTTCAGCCTGATTCGATTCAGTTCCCTGTAATATCGTAACGCAGTACATACTGTATTTTGGTGCTCATTATTCCAATGCAGCAATTGGATGTCATACCATAGTTGTTTGCCTGCCGGTATCGTACTATGCCTGCAGGGTTTCGAATGCATTATTGACTGCGCAAACTACCTCAGAAAGCGCATCAAGCTCTTGGTCTCGCTTTGCACTGACCTGCCAAAGCTGCTTGTTCTCCTCTGAAAGCTTGGCAAGCTGTTGGTCGCGTTCATCTGACGCTTGCTGCAGTGTGTTTGGTGCTTTGCTTCAGATCTTTCATCTCCTCTGAAAGCTCTTTGATGCGCTGCCCATTCTGCTGAACCTGATGCTGCAGTTGCTGCCCAATCTGCTGGGTATCCTCTGAACGTTGGCCAAGCTGGCGAAGCTCTCGACGACGTTCCTTGAACTCTTGACGACGCTCCTTGAACTCTTGCTTCAGTGTTTTGTTGGTTTGCTGCAGATTTTTGATGGTTTGCTGCAGATTTTCTATTGCCTTCCCATTTTCTTCTTGTTGTTTTGCAATCGCCTTACAGAAGGCGATCGCCTCAAGCAGCATTGCCGAATCATCTAAATGTACCGGCAGCTCTTTGTCTTCGCTCGATCCAATTCCTCCTTTCTTTTCAGATACCATCTTGTGCGTATACGTAAACCAGTTGAGTATCTCTTTCGAAAGACGAATGTAAAAAATTATGAGTGAGCTGGAACACGAGGAAGACACTGATGATGGACTCAGAGGGATGATGTATACCGAAAGATACCAGTACTCCCTCAGTGGAATTGGACAGGGTCCGTTTTTCTCATTGGTACTTTGCGCACGCGATGAGCATGGATTGATTGATCTGACGAAACGTGTCCGGGCCCGATGTCGACCTGAATCGAATTAGGCTGCTCTGTCGCCTTGGACTCCCGCGACCATCTTGCCGCTGATCTTTCCCAAGCACGGATACAGCTGAAACCATTCATGCGTCTTGAACCAAGGCGAGAATCGAGATCCTTCATCGATCGCCTTGGTCTCTTCTGACTGAAAATTGCGCATTGCCGCAAATGTCCGATCTCTTTTGAGTTCTTGCTTTGTTGGTTGTCATTCGCTTTGACAGCTTGTGTCAGGGTCTCTGCCTGCAACAGTTCCGCATCTCAAGCAGCATTGTCGAATCAATCCTCCTTTGCAGAAGTGCTATCGTGATGGTGCGTGGAAAGGGTGTGTGCAGCTTCGCTTCATTGAAATGAAGACCCCCTTGTACAGTATTGTCTCTCCCTTCCATTTCGGATTGCATGTTCGTGTAGAGTAATCGAGGAATAAGTCAATCGAGGACAGTCGATGGGGGACAGATCGATGGAGGTGTGGTGTTCGGCAGGGTGTTTTTCGGTCTGTTTCGCCCACCTTCCCAGACAGGGAATGAAGAGATTCTACAGAACGGAGAGTATGAGTTAACAGGGAGCCGACCATAAGGGAGACTGACGGACAGGAATCCGGGAGAGCCACCCATCCAAGGATGAGGTGGTGGACCAAAGTGTCGGGTGCACAGGTGGTGTGCATATGTGGTGTTGATGACTAGCTAGAAGGACTACTAATCGGGCGGCTACAAATCAGGTTCACTTTTTCTGAACCAGAGTTGCAGCCGCCCGACACCAATTTTTCTTTTTGACTGGGGGTAATTAGTGTTAGCGACCGCAGCCTGAAAAAGTATCTGCTGCCCGACAGTGACCGCCTCCCTCGCCAAATCTTACTCTGAAGAAAAGTAAGCATGGACTTAGAGTTTAATGATGCCAGCGGCGGGTCTCACAGTGTGACTTCCTTAGGGTCCGGTGCCGGAGATGGGGAAGTTTTGCACACTGGCCGAGTGGTGTGTGAGGAAGTGTTTTGCCGAGCACGATTCGTCAAGAAAGGTACCATCTACGTCTGTTTCAGTGACCGTGGGGTCGACTGTAACCGAGGCAGCCACCGAGGGGCCACCCGTTCCAACCAGATCGGATACTCCTTTGAAGGGGTGCTTAGACACAATGGCCAATACTTTGACAGAATCGCAAGTACCGCTCTTGCCCCTAGCGAGACGGCCGCTCTCCAAGCCAAAGAGCGAGCTGAGGACGACGCCGCGCTTCAGGAAGGACCCGCTGAACGCTCTCCCGGGCTCAAGGTGGAAACTGTAAACATGGGATTGCCCGACGCCAAACGAGCCTTCTCGAGTGGAAGCACCAAGGGACGTGGAGGGTCCATCTCTTTCGAAGGCGAAGAAGTCCCCGGTCTCGCTGCGACCTTCTCGAGCGATACCGGCGGTTCTTTCAGCACACCCATCCCGAGTCAACAGAAAATCCCCGCCCGCAAGAAGACACCCGAAGGCTCGCTGAACAAGGAGGAAAGGGCACGGAAGATCTCGAAGCTGGCCGCCCAGGAACGGGCGAAGGAAGAGGCCGCCCAAGAAGAGAAGCGACTCGCGGCAGCCAACTACGAGCAGGAACGAGCCACCGAGATTGCCGTTCAGAAACTCCTACGTGCACATGAGGCAGCCGGAGCCCAACGAGCGAAAGCCGCTGAAGCCGCCAAATACAAGCAGGAGGCAGAGGTCCAGCGACGCGTAAAACAAGCACTCGCTGCCAAAGCTCGCCAGGAAGGACTTCGAGATAGGCACCCGGGGACAAGCGACGGTACGGCTCCACCGACACCCAGCTTTTCCCCTGGAGTGCCATCCAGTCCAACCAGCCGCTTCTGGTACAAGTATGTGAACGGGATCAACAGAGCATACGGAGTGGTCAACGAACAGCGCGAGATGCAGCCGTTCGCCAGTGATAGGATTCTTGCCTGTGCCCGTAACACGGCTGCCGAAGCATGGGCGTGGGTGAGTGCCGAACTCGCCCATGCGGCTGACAACGCCCCGGCCCCCGGCGAGATCCGGCGATGGGAAGTCCCCAAGCCCGCCAACAGCCGAGTGGTACGCAATCCAGCCGGCCCGCCCACCATGCTCTCAGGAAAGGACCTGTCTACCAAGGACAAGGACGCGATCTACAACATCCCCATCAAGGAAGGCAAGGCAGCTCTCGCCAAAGGTTTGGCCCCAGAAGGAATCAGTCCGCGAATGGCCAAAACATTGGGCAATACAATGCTAGATGTATTGTCCCTACCAGGTAAGATACAGACCGGGGAACGTGACAATGTTACCAGCGAGATCAGAGATTCTCTCTTCGCCGCCGTCAGTCGCCAGACTGTCGATGACGAGGAGGTGCCCCCCGACCTCAAGTGGCAGCAGCCTTCCCGGAACGCGGTCACAACCTGCAAGAATGACGAAGACCTACGAGAACTCAAGCGGGATGTGGAAGAAGTGGAGGAACAACACCTGCGCCGGGCCATCGAGCAACAGCGCACCATCCTCGTCAGGAACGACTACCCGCTGAGCCTCGCCGATACATGGAGCAGCGAGGGATACATGGCCACGCTCAACCGCAAGGGGATCAAGTATTACAAGGCGTTCCTGGATCATCTCATCCAGTTGTCGTCCAGCCAAGGATGGAACGCCACCAACACGGTCATCGAATACTATGTGAAGAAGTGGCGCATCATTCAGGCCAACTGCCATTCCCGGCTCCTAGCCCTATGCCAGCTTTATGTCACCCTTCGCGATGGATATGAAAGTGACTGGCTACATCTCAAGCTCACGGACAAGAAAGTGAACTCCTTGCTCACGCAGGCCGGAGGAGCAGAAGGAGCCCGGAACGGAGGAGCTGTCCCCCGCGGAATCACCCTCTGCCAGAAATGCGAGACTATCCTACACGGCGGGACCGGCTGTCCTTGGACTGCCCTACGAGGAAACGCGGCCAAGCAGGCGGGCAAGGAGGCTCTATGTCGTTTGGCAGCCGGAGAAGGAGCACCTCCGCCCGAATAAGGAGGACGGCGCCGCACTACCACTGAGTCCGCAGGGGCCCAAAATACTGTATATGTTCAGAAAGAAGTCTTCAAGTGTACGAACCGCCGCGCGACGGTCCACAAGCACTTGAGCTGACTACAACACATGACGACCGAAGATCCACAACTTCACGTTAGCACCGAGCTCTTGGTTCCAGCTGAGAGACAATTTGGAAGGGGGGCAGAAGGCAATCTGACAAGTTCGCTAACAATTACCACCCGTTATGTCACTTAATGCCTTTCTCGTTGTCGTTCTACACCACACATAGGTGAGTCAGAACAATTTGTACGAGCAGAGGATATCCTCTGTGCTTCCCCGTGCACCCTTCCACCCCTCCTCAAGAGGAACAAGATTCGATATGGAACCATCGGGCACGGCCTGGATTTGGCCCGTTTGGTATGGGCAGGAGAGAACCATGTTTTCTCATGCCAAGACATCGATGTACAGTCACCACTTTCTAAGCGGCCCAAGACCAAGGAAATCAAGCACCTCCAACGTCAGAAGAAGACCTTCCTCAGCTCCCA